CTGTGATTCTGTGAGGAGGTGCGCTGAGCTGGAGACCCGTCTGCAGCCCGTGGATGCCCCATGCCGGAGCCAGGAGCTGAGCCCGAAGAGGTCCATGACTCCATGGGAAGCTGCTCCAGAACATCTTGTTCCTGGACTTCCATGCCAGGAAAAGCAGCAGAGGTGACCTGACTGAACCCCCATTCCCTGTCCCCTGTGCTGCTTTGCAGGGGAAGGCAGAGAAATTGGGAGCAAAGTGATTTGGGCCCGGGAAGAAGGGAGGGGTGGGGGAAGGTGCTGTAAGATGTGGTTGTTATGTCTCATTGTGCTACTCAGATAAATGGCAACAAATTAAATTGATTTTTTTTCCCCAAGTGGGGTCTGTTTCCCCCATGACCATAAGTGGTGAGTGAGCCCTCCCTGTCCTCATTCTAATCTGTCCCCCTTTGTTGTGACTCCCATCCCATCTCAGCAGGTGTGGGGAGTGAGTGCAGGACCATGTGGTCCTACTGTGGTCAAACCACCACAGTTACAAAGACAGCTGTGAGACTGGAGCATAATATGCCCATATACAAGAAGATGTGATGTGGAGAAATCTTTGTTGGGAGGCAGTTTTAAGCACCCACAATTCCTATGGGATGCAACAGGCCCTACTATATGTCCACATGTGTATTTGCAAAATATGTATGATGCATTTGTAATTCTTTTATCCTGAAATACATAAAAATAAAAACAAAACAACTAATTATTTGTCACTGCTAATTTAGTTAAACATCAGTATTACATATGGAATCACAAACTGCAACATAGAAATACAACAGAGAAGTTGGAAGGAGGAAGAGTTTTTAAAGCTATCCTAACCAACTGGACAGCATCAAACGAAATGGAAAGAAAACTCCAAGGTACATAAGTACACAGGGATCAGCATGTCAAAACTGGCAAAGCTTGGCAAACAAGCTGAAGTTTAGAAATTATATACTTCCTCTCAAGCAACTCATCAGCAACAACATGGAACCATGTAACACAACAAAATGTCCAGAAATGCCTTGACTCCTTACAGCCAACACCTGCACTCTCATTCCCAGAGGTCAAGTATGCTCAATTTATAAACAGCTCAGACTCAGTCTAAGCAAAACTTTGGAGATGGTGCAGCATTTCTGGCCTTGTGCAGAACTCTGAAAGCAAGCCAAAGGACTTGACATGACTCAATCAGTGAGGAACACAATACAACTCAGAAGCCAAACATAACTCTGACTGGGGTCAACCTCATTCATCAGCATCATCAAACTGGCCAATCTCAGTCGTTCTGACTGGTGGAGTAAAAGCAAAGGAAGCTGCATGGTGACAGGCTGGGGTGTAATACAAATCCTCTTGCCATGAGTACGAGGCCAAGAGATTATTTTCCTGAAAGCTTCCACAGCAGAAATCATCAGCATCTAAAGAAGATCAAAGAAAAGATTTAAATTATGAGAGATACTTAGAAAACTAGTGGTATAATGTAGCAGATTATTTTGCAGGTCTACAGCATCTTCCAGTTAAGTATTTCAATTCGATCTGCCAGCACACATTAATGAGACCTACAAACACAGCAAACAGAAAGCTGAATTTGGCAATGTCTTCATTTTAAAGAAGGTTCTTGCCACAGAGACAAAACAGTTTTCCAAAAAGCTCAGTTATATACCTGGATTCAAAACATCCAACACCAGCTCTTACAATGCCTGCAGTTCTTCTCTGTTTACTCCAGGCATAAAGGCTCATGAAACCATTACTTTCATTTCCCCTCCCCCTTCCTGCTATCTCCATAACCAATTCCCAATTAGGAGCCCTCCAAAATCCTAAGAACTGGGTCACTGGACAGAATGGAAGGGTGGAGTCCTGTAAAAGCAAGCTTTGAAAAACAGTTCCACTAGGCTAGAATTAAGCCTAATAAGCCTGTTATTTAACCAACCTAGCACAAAAATAGGGCAAAGTCCTTTAACAGAAGCAAAAGATTTCTAGCCAGCAGACAGTGAAAGGAGTGAGCAAACGAAAAGCCGAGAGTATGGGGCAGCAGAGCATCCAACACAGTACACGCACGTGTCAGCTTTCCAGTCACGCTGCCAAACGAGCCATCAAAGGAAGCATTTTTAAAAGTTTTTTTAAAGCCCTAAAATGACCACATACAGGTTTTTTATTTTGAGCAACTCAGATACTTGTACTCAGTATCCTTCACAAGCACCTGAATCCCATAATCAAATGAAGTGCAAGTAAATTTGTACTCACTGTAAGGATCACGCTCCAATTCCTCCAGTTCCTTTTCCCAGTCTTCCACTTCATAGTAAGAAGCAGTTTTCAGCTCTGTAAAAGTTAGAGCCTCAAGTTTACTGGAGAATTCAACATCCAAGTCTTCCAGGTCAGGATATACAGAAGTGTTTCTGACATAATTTTCATTGTGAGAGGTATCAGAGAATTCATTTTCTTCAGACTCACTACCAGGATGATTTGCAATATTGTTCGGCAAACATTCTAAAACCAATAGAAAGAGCCAACAGAGACATTTAAGAATTAAACACAAACAATTAAATGCTTAGCATGCAATAATTCAGACAGGTATATGAATGTACTACTAATCTGATTATAATATATGCTCTTTCTTACACATGTAATATCACTACAGTGCTGCTTCGGGTTTCAGATGTTTAGGAACATCAGACAAAGGCTCGCATCACAACACTAGCCCAAGTCAGGATTTTCGAGAGACTCTTCTTGGAAAATAACTCTTTAAAGTAGGGCAAAGAACCCAGCAGTCTCGTTTCACCACATTCACTTGTTGGTACTTTTTAAACACTGCTACATTGAAAAACCATAGCTCTGTTTTTCATTCTTTGTTTTGGTTTTTGTTGGGGTTGTTTTTTTTAAGAAATATTTTTTTGTAGTATTGATTAATTACTCTTGCACCTAGGCATACACAAGTATCTACATGGAAATCATTTAGTGCAGTGACTGAAGAGGCATCCCACACATCACTGAAGAGTTTTAAGTATTATTTCCTCAAGCAGAGTGTAAGTTTCCTTACTCAATGTCTGCTTTGTTTTTTCCTAATATTTTAGGCTTACCTCTTCTGGGCTTCCAGATCATAGTTTTGTTCTCATCAGGAGGAAGCTGTTCCTCCTTAAAGCTTGAGGACTCAATAGCATCAGCCATCACCTACAAGACAGTTTTAAAGAATCCTGTATCACCTTTAATCAATTCCTCCCATAAGGCTCATGCAACTTCTACGGCATTTGAGTGTTTCTGTGGCCTTGAACACAAACTGGTTTTTTGTTCCCTTAATGAATCAGAGGTTTTAAACCAGACAGGCTTTCACTTCAGAAAGCAAATCTGCCAAGGGATGGCTCATCCCGCTGCTGCCATCAGTCAGCCCAGGCAGCAGCCAACACACAACTGCCAATCTCCTCCGTCACCACCATAGTGATCCTGCTGCCACCCCCAGCTTTGGGAACAGGTCCCAAACTGACCCAAAATGTGCCCGTTTGGGTACAGCAGCAGACTGTGAAAGCTGAAGAGGTAATGAAGACACAACGAGGTGAACGAGGGCAAGAACCAAAGAGGAACCAACCATCTTGTGGGAGCCGAGATGCCACGGAGACAGGAGAGGGCCCGGCCCTCACAGCCCTGAGGGGCTGAGGAAAGATGGCGGCGCAGGAGGTAACACCTCAACTGGTGTCATGGCTCCCTGAGGGCGAGGAAAGAACAGCGAGTTATCCCACCACTTCCACTACAACAACGATGAATTCGCTGAAGGACAGGCCCTG